TGGAAACGAATGGGAGCGGGGCGGGGCTTCGCTTCCGGGGGGTGGGGGGCGGTTCCTCTTCCGCTTCCGGTCCGGTGCCGGTTTGACCGCCCGCCCGCTCTTTCGCCCGGCGGCGGTTTTCCGGGAATTTTGGTGGCAATGGCGTTCGCTTCCGGGCGAAATGGGGCCTCCGTCGGTGTGGGGGTTGTGGCGGCGGTCGCGCATCGTCGTGTTTTTTTTTTTGTTTTTCCCCTCCTCTCTCGGGTTCTTTTCCCTTTCTGGGGTCCCGGGTGGGGTGGCGTAGGGGTCCTTTTCTCTGTATTCTGTGCTGGCGGTGTTGTTTCGTTTTTATGCCATCTTGGGGTATCAGATCACCTATGTACCATGTTGATAATTGCTATTCTTTAGGTTTGGATTTCCTTCTCTTGGAGAGGATTGGGCAGCGGGTGTGTCGTGGTGGTGTTTTATATTTTGGTTTTGTTTCTCATTTTTTTGTCTTTATATGCTATATTTTTATTAGGGCTATGTGCGTTGGTTCATTTTGATTGATCTTTAAGGGTTTATTTGGTAGTAATGCGACGCTTATTATGGAAGAGAAGTCTCTTTCTACAAGAAGCAAGATTTCTAGTGGTGGGTCCTAAATGTGGTATTCCACCTGTGAGCTCTCCACCTGCATTTGAAAGCAGACGCAGAAAACGGTTAAGGCTTGGTAATGAGGAAAATAGTGGATTAAAGAGATCAAGTAATAGTGTAATAAAATCGATGATGGACGAAAATGAGGCGAAATCGATTTGCTTTGAAAACCATGGGTTTCTCCAAAAACCTTTAATAATAAATCATTGGTCAGAATTTTTGCAGGAACTCCGACGTATTGAGTTTCGTTGGTCACTAGCTCCTTCTGCGGGTGGTGTTATTATCTTAACCATATTAGAACACGGTATTGATGGTGAAAAAGTCCTATGTTCTCTTAGAGGGACCTCAGGTTGTGCCCCAATTGCGGAGTTTTTTGAGTGTTGTGGAAGTTTTATTCAGGGTTCATTAAGTAAGTATGATACAAGATTTGTTGATCTTGATGGTGGTGAGTTTCTCCTTCGAGTTGTGGCCACGAGAAGGATTCCTGAAGGTAATACTCTAGATTTAATTGCTGATAAACCTATACTTCCTGTATTAGCTCAATATGACTGTCGAGGAACCTCTGTGGATGTTTCTATTGTTGAAACTAAAACAGGTGTTCAGACTCTACTTTTTCAAAATTTGTCATTACAGACATTCAATTATGCGTTTTTGACTTCTGTTCCTATTTTTCTTAAACGTACTGATGTTGGGGTACGTAACGTTGATTTCGTATCCAAAGAGCAGATGCGTCATTTTCGCTTTGCGTGGTGTTTTCTAAGACGAGAATCTATGATGACAGCAGTTGATATGACTGAATTGGATAGTTTATTACCACCCTGAGTTTTTTTTTTTTTCTCCCTATTGCTCTTTCTTTGGGTTACATTAATGACTACTGTAAGGTTTTTTGTACATTTTGCATACTATTTCTTTATTTTCTTACCTAAATTCGTTTCCTTTTTTATTGAATCGTTTTCTTCTATATTTTTTTTATTGTAAATTTAACAGGAATTCCCTACTTAATGCGCGCCCTTTCCTTGCGGAGTGTCTCTTTTTTCGGTCGTGGGGCTTTGGCCACCATCAGTACTTCTCGTATGTGGTGCTCGACAGAAGCTGCCAAAAAAGAGGAGAATACTGCCAAACCGGAAGGAGAACAAACACCAATTACTCAAGAGGCTTTTGCTAAACTGGAAAAGGAACTTGAAAAGGCGAGAGAAGACATTGGTGAACTCAAGAAGGAAGTGCTTTATCGTGCTGCTGAGGCTGAAAACGCCCGTCGTATTGGTCGTGATGATGTTGAAAAGGCGAGGGCTTATGGAATCACATCTTTTGGAAAGGACATGCTGGATGTTGTGGATACCCTCGAAAAGGGTATTGATGTTATCTCAAAGCTCGGAGCTGAGGAAATTGAAAAAAATAAGGCATTGCATTCTATCTATACTGGTGTGAAGATGTCAGTTAAAGTTTTACTAAACAACTTTGCGAAGCACGGAATCGAAAAGTTGGATGTTCAGGTAGGGGCCAAATTTGATCCCAACATTCATGATGCTCTTCTTAAGACTCCACCAACTAAGGAAATCCCCAGCGGTCACATTTCTACTGTATTAAAGACTGGTTATAAGATCAAGGATCGTATACTTCGTGCACCACAGGTTGGTGTTGCTGAAGATGACTAGGTGAAATGTTGGAAGAGAAAAAAAGGGGGAAATGGTGTTTTCTGACAGAGTAGATGGTATTTTCTTGGTTCGAGCTCTCTTACAGGGAAACGAAAAAAAAAAAAAAAAGCAAACGAAAATAGTGTGCATGTCAAATCACGAAAAGCAAGACGAAGGAATGAAGGAAATACCTGAAAAAGAAATAAAGAGGAAAAAAAAAACGATGAAAACGATATTAAACATTTGTGTCTCTGTTCATCACATGAAATCTTATATATTGATTGACTTTCTTGTATGAATGGTATGTCATGGTTTTTTTTTTTTTATCTTTTGCTTGCTTTGCCTCTGTTTGATAACAATAATTATGTGTTTCTTTTACTGCAACGGTATTTCTTACGAAGGTTCTCCTCATTTTTCACGTGTAGTTGGTTGATAGTCTTTGCATAGGTAGGTATGTAGGTATGTTGGTAGGTCTATTATGGGTGTTTCGTGAGTCTTGCAGTTCATTAAGGTGTACACTGCAGCATCTACAAAATCTTTTCTAAATACTGTGAGTTGTGGATTTTCTGGACTATAATGCATAGTTAGCGATACCTATTGGATATGAATAGTTTAGTTATAGGCTGTTGTTTTTCACCATTGAAGCAATAGCATGACGAATTACCGTACTGTACTTTACCAATGTTGTTTTTCTTGCAATGGGATTGAATTATGTTTCTTTACTGACAGATAAAAAAGAAAATAAAAGAAGAAAGAGATATGAGGGCTGTTTTCTTTTGCTTTTTTTTTTTTTTCTTGTCTGTACTCATTCTTTTCTTTCATGTACTTGTGAAGTATTAATCTTGCCTAACTTTCTTACTTTTAAACACTTTCCATCAGTACTTTTAGTATACTTAGTAAGGTATTTAGTAGTTTATTTATCTACATATTTTGATTTTATTTTACAAACTTTTATCGTTATTAAAACAATGGGTGATGAAGGGAATAAGGATGAAGGACCCAATCGTATTATGGTCTTCCTTCGTGTTCGCCCGGCGAAGAAAGGTGAGATTGATCCCGAGAATGGAACTCATTTTCTACTTGATATTCAACCCGACAATAAAACCTGCCTTTTAGAGGGAAAAACGTATAGCTATGATTATATATTCAATGGTGAAGTGGATCAAGGGGATATTTATTATCGAGTAGCTCAGCCTGTCGTTACTAACGTTTTCAAAGGTTATTGGGGTACTGTAATGGTCTATGGACAAACGGGTACTGGTAAATCTTTCACTATGTGTAATTTCAGTCCATCTAATGCAGGTATTATTCCACGAACGATGAAATACATTTTTGAAACCATACAAAATGATTCTGAACGAATTTACACTGTTATGTTCTCTTTTATTCAGATTTACGTGGATAAATTACAAGATTTGTTTAATCCTGAGGCTCCTGAGTTGAAGATTAATAGAGACAAAAATGGTGTTAGTTTCCCAGGAGTTGTGGAACATACTGTAAAAGATGAAGAAGATTTTCGTCGTCTTTATGATGATGGTAATCAATACCGAGTAATTACTGCAACAAAAATGAATCCAGAAAGTTCTCGAGGTCATGCTGCTTTATTTATTCAGGTGAAATCTGTTCCAAAAGATGACCCAGGTGGTGAGGTTCGAAGTGGAAAACTTTTTCTTATCGATCTTGCCGGATATGAACGTTTTAGTAAAACAGGGGTTCAAGAAGGACAAATGGCATTAGAGGCAAAGACTATTAATGCATCTCTTTTGTCTCTTGGAAATGTTGTTCAAGCTTTATCAGATCGTTCAGAGCACGTTCCATGGCGTAATGCAAAACTAACCCGTATGCTTGAGGATGCTATTGGTGGACGTGCAAAATGCAGTATTATACTTACTGCAGGTCCGAGTAGTGAACATTTACATGAAACACTTGGAACACTTTATTTTGGTTCTCGTGCTATGGCAGTAAAAACGAATGCTAAACTTGCTGTTAACATTGACTATAAGAAATTGGCCGCAAAACTACAAGAGTTACTTGCTGCTGCAGAAGGTCGTATTAACACTCTTGAAGTAGAAGCAACTCGAAGACAACTTGAACGTGAAGAAGCAGAAGCAGCATTCCAAGCAGAATGGGCAAGGATTAAAAAGACTCAACAAGATCAACTGAATGAATTACTTGCATCTGGTGCATCAAAAGAAAAGATTGAAGAACTTATTCGTTTTAATGAAGAAGAGAATAAATTAATGGAAGAGCAACAATATCAACAACGACAAGCGCTTGAGGAACGTCATGAACAAGAGTTAAAGGAAGCTATGGAGAGGGAACAAAAAACTTTAATGAATCAGACTGCTGAATCAACTTCTAATATGAGTAAAGACATTGGTGAACTTCATCGTCAACTTTCACAAGAACGTCAAGAGAAGGAAAAGTACAAATTAAAGGCCAAGGAAGCAGAATCTGAAGCACGACGTGTAACAATGGAGATGAATGAATTAAGAGTTCAGATGGAAGGAGAAGGACTTGCTGGTTTATCAGGATCAACTTCAAATCCTGAATTTAAGAAAGAATTTGAACGACGTATCGATTCTGTAAAGTCTATGTATGAGGAAAATATGCAACTTCGATTATCTGAGATTGAAGATTTACACAGTGAAGAAATTAATCGATACAAAACTATGTATGATGATTTAAAAAGAACAATGGATAATGAAATACGATCTCAAAAAGATAATCTTGTTGCTTCTTATGAAGAAGAAATTGATGCTATTCGTAGGAGCTCAGCAGATGTACAGAGTAAACTTAAGAAAAACCATCTTGTTATTAAACAATCATACCAAACACAGAAGGAATCTTTAGAGCAAGAAAACAGTGAACTTACTGCTTATATTGAAGCATTAACTAAGCAAGTACAGTCTTTGGGAGCAAAACCAGTATCAAAACCATCAAATGTTACCAAGTCAAACTCTTTAATGATACCAGGAGATGCAAATAAGAGAATTCAAGATCTTATGACAACTATTAAGGAACTTCGTGCAGAAATTGCGTATATTCGAACAGAGAAAGATGCCCTTACCAGAGAAAAAGAAACACAAGAAGCTAGAGGTGAAGATAGGTTAAATCCTGCACAAATTCGTCAATTGAAAAATGAAAATGATGAATTGAAACAAGTAAAGAAAAATTTGGAAGATGATGTTTTCAGAATGAAGGCAGAATTGGCTTTATCTAAGCATCAAGTTGAAGAAGATGATGATGAAGATGATGAAATCGTAGATGTATTTGGAGACAATGAAGGTATTCCAAAATTTATTAAAAATGTTCTAAAAGTTCCATATTTTGCTGGTACACAAGCAGTTCAAAGCACTCACAAAGCTATTCTTGGATCATTAACTACTGATCTAGATGAATATAGACGTATGTTGAAGTACAGATTTTTTTTAATTGGTAATTCTAACGCTGGTAAATCTAGCTTTATGAAATGTCTTGCAGCGACTTCTACACCTATGATTCGTGGTACACCAGAAGTTATTACCCCTACAGTTCATCCAACTTCTACTTCTGTTAATGTGGATGATGCTTATTGTTCAAGGAATGATTGGTATAAAACATACGTTAAATTTTTGGATTTGGATACACCACAACAACAACAATCAGGAGGTTTTTTGAGTTCTATAGGTATATCAAAAAGTTCAAAAAATGGTGTCAGTGATCCTGCTAAAATTCATATTGATTTACTTGATTTTCCAAGTGATTTAACTTTTTGGCATGGTATTCCACCTTATTTATTACCATCTAAAAATGTTATATATTGTTTAATTTATGATCTTACAAAACCAATTGAAGATGTTAAACAAGAATTGGAAAGGGAACTTATACTTCTTCATGCAGCTTGTCATCGAGTATATTCTAAAGATATTGGTGGTGATTCAGCTAAAATTGGATTTTGTTTGGTGGGTACCAGAAAAGATGCTCTTAAGGATTATCGTGATGCATCTGTTTTGATACACATTAACAGAATTGCTGTTCTTCTTGGAGACACTTTTTTTCGTTTGCGAGGAGATGATAATCGTGGTCTTGTTTGTGTCGGTAATTTCGCAGTAAGCGCTAAAGATTGGTCAGTTTTAAGTACAAAGAAAGATCAAGGACCAAAAACATTTAAAGAATTGAGTAATTATTTGGGTACTATTGCGTCTCAACTTTATTCTAACCGTCCAAGTAGTCTTTTACCATCATCTAAAGATACTGCATCTCATCTAAGCTATATGCTTGGAGATGAAATGCTTGAGACTTCTGCTGAAAAGACATCTCACCTTGTAGAGGCACAACGACGAATGCGTCAAGGAATTGTAACTCTTCTTACAGCATTATTTCGTGAACAAAAGGTTCGATGGGCATTACAAGAGTGTGAACTTAGAAATTTAATTTCTGAACATTTGTCTCTGGATTCTAAAACCAGTTATGGTATTTTTACTGAAAACTATGTGGTACGTGAACTTTTTTCACGTGGAGTTATTGTTGCCCTTCCGAGCGCTATTATTGAACCTAAGTATTTACCACGTATAAGTGGATCTCAAAAACTTTCTCATGATGGTATTATAGTTTTGGATCCCAGTCGCCTACTTGTTCATTATTCAGTATTTATGTGTCCTAGTTCATTAACACGAGTACCAAGTGGATCATCGTTTCTTAAAGATCGAGAAGTCATGCAGTTTGATTACTCTGGTTTAAGTCGATGCCAAACTTCATGGGGACAAGGTATTGTTACTGGAGATGTTACCCAAGTGGTTGGTGTTAAACTGTTACCACAAATGGGTAATGATGTTAAAACGGCACAAGAATTATATTGTGTTATGGGATTGGGACTACCACTAAAAACTGAAACTGCAATAATATCACCACAACATTTTTCAGCTCGCATGTCTGATTGTTTAAGTTACTATTTATCATATATGATTTCTTGTAATGGTGATGGTATTGCAAGACAGTACAAATTTAATGCAAACCCATCAACACTTTTTGCCTCTATTCAGACAAAATTAATTCCCTTTTCTCATGTTCCATCAAAAGATCCAAGACACTTGGTAATGAATTGGAAGGATGCATCATTTCTTGTACTTGAAAAAAGTCGCTTAAAGTATGGTGTTTTTGGTTCTAAAGGTGTAAAGGATGCTGCTTCACAAACAAACATTCCCATTCGTGGTATTATGAAATATGAGGGTCAGTTCTTATATATTGCCATAACTGGGCGACACACTGAGGGCAATAAAGCTATTGATGCGTGCAGTACAGTTTTGGACGCTATCCATTACGAAATTGTCTCCACATGCAAGCGAAACTTTCGTGGAGTGAAAGTGCAATTTCAAGAACTTACTCTAACAGGGGCCTCTCAGAAGCGAGAGAGCTTTGCAGCTGGACAAGAAGCAATATTGAGTCGTTACAAAGCCGATGATAAGGTTATAGCAGCACAACAGCATATCACTCTCAGTCTGAGTGATCCAAATGCCAAGGAGATTGAGGATGCTATCATCAATTTACCTTTGAAGCTACGTGAAAAACCAGATGGATAAAAATCAAGTGGGATATATTATTTTATTATTATTATTATTATTATTATTATTATTATTATTATTATTATTATTGTTGTTGTTATCATTATTTATTATTAGTATTTCTTTTTGCCGTTACTATTTACATTGACAAATACTTGTTTCAGCGAAAAAAAAAGTGAAAGTACCACAGTGGTAACGGTAACGCCCAGTGGTTGAGAATAATGAACCACCAATGATGTCTATGAGCGTGCCGTTCTTCTTCTTGTTCTCCTTTCTTTCTTTTCTCTTGTTTTTCCATTATATATATATATATATATATATATATATATATATATATCTTGTAAAGGGTTTTACTTTTTTTTTTTAATTCGAGTTATTTTTATGTTTATGGGACTTGGTGATATTTTTATGCGTTTTCCTTTCACCCCAGTGTAAAAACGGGGATGATTTCTTTACTTTTTATTTAGGTATAAACGTTGGGAAGAAGTTAATTCTGAGTAACAGTTTTTTTTTTTTTTTTTTTTTTTTTTTGTTTCTGCAACTAAAAAATGGAAACGGTCGAGATTTGATTAAATGCCATACTGGTAATATATACATATATATGTATGTTTTTTTTTTTTTCGACTCCTGCTTCTTTTTTTTTTTTTTGGTTGTAGGCGAGCTGAGGAGTGGTTACATTAAGGGAAGAAAATGTTGCGTCGTTGTTGTCCCGCCACGACTAGTGGTGTTGGGATTAATGCCGGAATGGTTGCCGGTGCGTTTGCCAGCACCCAAAAACGTTTTCTAAAGATAGCGAAGTCTCCATTTGGTTTTTACTTGGCTCGACGCGGGCAGCGTAAGTATCCATTCCACCGCCGTCCACACATAAAAAATACCCACGCAATGAATTTAAATGCACCATACTTCTGGAAGTTCATGACAGCGAAGAGTCCGTCTTTTTTCTTGCCAGAGGAGAACTACATCACAGGTGACTGGACAGGGAAGTTCTTTGTATCAAAGCGGCAGGTGTACACTTTGCAACATGCCACTAGCGGAGCAAAAGTACGGGTAAAATCATTCCCGTCTGTGTTTGAATTTAACACTCCATCACGGTGGAACATAGGAAAGGAAATGAACACACTAACGAAGCCTCGTATGGACCTCATTGACGAGCAAATGCTAACAAAGAAGCAACGTCTGGATTACGTCAAGGCAGGACTGCTTCCTAAGTAAGAGGAATGGTTTTTTTTTTCAGGTTTTTCTTTTGCTTCGGCCTCTTCCTTGTTGTTCTTGTTGTTGTTGTTGATGGTGATGGTGGTATTTGGTGCAAACTTCTTGCATTTCTCGTTATCAGTGTGATAAAAAGAAAAAAAAGTGCAGTGAGAAATAAAGACTATATTCAATATTCCCTTTAAATATATGTATACTTTTTTTTTTTGTTTCTTTACGTTTCCGATAAGTGTTTTTTTTTTCTTTTTCCCTTATTTCCTCTCCATTGTCATTGCTAAGTGTAGAGACACGATAAAGTTTTCTGAGAAGTCTGTTATGAGTCATTCAAATCGTAGCCATTTGGGGGAAGATGTGTTGGATGTGGAGCACAAAATAGTTTTAGAGACTAACAAGCGCAAAAAAGTAGAGCGCGCACTTGGGCACCTCCGTTCGCAGGGACTACCTAAAACCCACAAAGAAGTGACATTTCAAACCTTATTAGAAAGTATTGAAAGTGTTAAAAAGGAAAAAAACACAATTCGCGAGTGGTTAGAACGTGGTGTTGCAGAGGCAGAACGTGTATCTGAGCAATTGTTACAGTTGTCTGAAGAAGTGCAGCACGCTGAGGAGCTAGAAACTAAAGTTAAACTGTCAGTACATGAACTTACTGATTATTATAGTCAATTGCAGCAAGACCTTCACAATATGAACCTTGAAGTAAGATCTTTACAGCATGATATCAGTATGAAGAAGGATGTTGAGGCTGTGGAAGTGGTACAAACAAATGCTCAGAAAAATGAAGATTTTTCTCTTTTTGACTTGAGTGCTCTGAAAAAAACCGTAGAGGAGTTACGCCGCAAAGTAGCTATGGTTGAGACGGCAGAGGCAGCTATGGGTTGTCTTGCTGCATGTTCCCGTCGTTCACTTCATGAACTTGGAAAACTTAGTATCGCTGTAAACAACACTGATGTGTTAGGTGAATGGAAGGAAACTGAAGATGATACCGATTCGTTTGATTCTGAAGAAGGTGCAGACAGTACACGTCATTCACCAGTAGTTCTCACATCAGCAAAAGCAATTCTTGATCGATGTGACTTATGTCTTTGTACAATCTGGTCTGGATTGAGCCGTGTTGCATTTGATAAGGCTCACCACCGGCGTCAACAAGATATGCGGTATGAAGAGGCATATGTAGCCGTTGAACGGGATTATGAAATGACTATGCAAAACTGTGCCACACACTTGCAACAGTTACGGGATGAAGTGGAATTGTGGAAGAGCAAATATTCCACATTTGAGAGTTTGGTAAAAGAGTGGGAGGTGGGAGATAATAAAAACACGGGAATATTTTATACAAAAGATAGGTGTGAAAACGAAACTAATGAAAGTTTCACAAAAAAAGAGGAAAATGATACTGATGAAAGTTTTGCTACCGCATTGAAGCGCGAGAAAACCTCTTTAGAGGATAATTATCATCGTTTACAAGCTACAAAGGAATCATTGGAGAATAAGATAGATATTGCTACAAATGATTACAAATGTGTCAGGGAGTTAAAACATGAATATCGTGATCTGGAGTTAAGGAAGTCAGAACTCGTGCGTATAAATGAACAGCTTCGAAAAAAGAATCGAATGATGAAGCTGGCCGCATGGAAAATAGACATGACATTACCACTGACGCTTATCGACAAGTAGCGCAGTGACGTATATATTGTATTCTATCGTTATATATATTGTTATTATTATTATCGTTTTTAGTGTGAAAAAGTGTTTACATGGGGTTCTTTGTTTACCCTATTCTCTGATTTTTCTCAGCCATATATATATTTCTTTTTTTTAAAACTCCTTTTATTACTTTTATTATTATTATTATTATTATTATTATTATTATTATTATTGCTTATGTTATTCTATTATTTATTAATGTATTTTGATCTATTTTTTTTTTTTTTCGTTTTGCGAACAAGGTCTATGCGCAGGTTTACTCTCCATCGGTTTATTTCTGTGGCCTTTGCCCTGCGTAGCAGCATTAGCAGCATCAGCAGTGGTAGTAATCATGATAAGAGTAGTGGTAGTGGTATTGACAATAGTAGCGTCAGCAATAGTGATTCCCTCCTTGATGACATCTTCTCTGAGCTAAGCACATGTGATATAACGCAGCGGCAGAGTTCGCTCAAAACTCAGACAGTGTCATCCTCAAAGGGAATACACAATAGCAATAGCAACAACAATAGCGGAACTGGAGTGTCCACATCTGTGAATACTGCTGCACCGGAAGATGCTGAGATACGGGCAGAGCTGGCTAAACAGGAGCACCTCCAACGACTCCTGCAGGAGACGCATGACCAGACGGCGATGACAAAACGTGAGGAGGTGAAGGCGGAGGAGGTGCGACGTCACTCCCGCTATGTCGCTTCACCTCCAGCGGGATTACATCTTTCTACTGCTGAATTGATACAGGAAAAATCACCACAACATTTTTCCCCCGCAGAGGACTCCTCTACGAGACTTTCATCGTTACCACAGTTGAACACACCCGGTTCTGTGGCTGTGGTAACGTTGGTAGGGAAAGTCCTCTCAGAGGCCACCATGCACGGCAACGGGAATTTAGAGGAGACCGACAACACATCGGCAGCTGAAAATGGTCCACATGCTCGCATGCTGGTGCAGTACAGTGTGCCGTTTCTTCCCACACCCACTCCCGTCACTGTGCAGGTGCGTTGTTACGGAGCAACATTAGCATCCTTCGTTCAGCAACACGTGCGAATGGGGGATTTGGTGCACGTTTTAGGACACGTATTGCCTCTTCACGTGCAAGCCGCAGGGGATCCCGCGTTTTGCGTCTGTGCACTCCCAGTGGGGGGTAACATCTCCGTTGTATTCTCTGCTGAGAGTGTCTCTGCGCAGTGAGTGAGGCGTGAGGCAACCATAGCTGTACAAGAAGAAAGAAAGAAATAACAACAAAAACAAAAACGACAGTGTTTATTGGAATCGGCTGGTACTGCTAGTTCCGCCATTCTTTTTTTGTTTTTCCTTGTTTTACTGTTTATTATTATTATTATTATTATTATTATTATTATTTTCCTCTACAAAGAGTGTTGTGTTTTAAACTTTATTCTTCCCATTTTTTTTTTTTCTTTCTGAAAATGAGTGGAATATAGAGAGTATAATTATCCAAGCATAGCAAAAACGAACGAACAAAAGAATAATAAAAGCGCACACCTATAAAAAAAAAAAAAAAAGAAAAAAAACCCTATTCAAACAACTGAAACTATGACAAAAAAGGTACTCGTTCCTGCAGCTGATGGCACAGAGGACATTGAACTTTCTTGCATCACAGACATTCTTCGTCGGGCAGATATCCAGGTGACGGTCGCATCAGTGATGGAAAGCCAAAACATTCTCCTTTCCAGGGGTTTAAAGCTTACCACAGACTCACTCATAAAGGACGAGTCGGCCGACAAATACGACGGTGTTTTTCTCCCAGGCGGTCTTCCAGGAGCCGACCATCTTGGCAAAAGTGAAAATCTCAAGAAAATCCTCCAGGATATTCGTGCACAGGGAAAGTGGTACGGTGCTATTTGCGCTTCCCCAGTTATCTCTCTGGTCCCTATGGGTATGTTGGAGGGTGTAAATACAGTCACTTGCTATCCCGCATTGAAAGACAAGGTTCCCGCACCTGTAAAGTGGTCAGCTGACCCTGTTGTTCGTTGTGGGAAGTGCTTGACGAGCATGGGACCTGGTACAGCTATGGCCTTTGGTCTCGCTATTGTTGCTGCCCTCGTATCAAAGGATATGGCGCAAAACTTGGCCAAGGATTTGCTTATTGATGGAACGCCAGTCATCGATCAGACGCTAAGTAAGTTCTAAACACTTGAAAGAAAAAAGAAAAGAAAAGAAAAAAGATGCAATCGAGTACAAGAAAAGGAATAGTGTTCTGTCTACGTTTTTATTTGTGATGATACTACTACAAAATAAAAGGAAAGGAGTATATATATATATATATATATATGAAAGAAGAATAATACTCTTTTTTATTTGAGCCTAGGGAAAAGGAAAGGAAATATCAAGGGTTTGTTAAGCACATATATGAATTAAAATGAGGAGGTGCAAAAAAAAAAAAAAAAAGCGTTTGCAAATATTATGCGATGAGTTTTTCTGAAACAAGAATAAATACGTTTTTGTTTTGTTTTGTTTTGCATCTCTTGTTTTTCTTTTTCTGTTTTTGGATTGTTCTCTCTCACCTTGTTCTCTACTCTCTTGCTCCTTTTTTTTTTTTATCTTCTAGGATGAAATGCGATTCTGTAGACTTGGATTATTTAAATATATTGGTTCACCAGCTCAATTTCGTGGTTCTGGTGATGCGATTTCAGCTAGTTTTGTACTGACATATACAGTCGGTGGTGAACCCATGAAGGTTCACTGTATTCCTGGGTACATATCGGCTCTGTACCTAATTGAATACCCTAAAAAGGAAAAGATGCTGCTTCTTGACACTGGATTTCCTAGTGATTTAGAGCGTATTCGATTTTATGTGGAAGAAGTAATGAACTCTGATAAGGTTGGAAAACAACGAATGGAAGATAAAATTCAATTAGCTGTTTGTACTCACTCTCATGTTGACCATGCTGGAGCTTCTATCGGTTATGAAAGATGTGGTATTCCAGTTGCTCACCCATTAAATATAAATGAATATTACAAGGGTATGAAAAGTAGTTTTAGACAACTTGTTGAGATATCTTTAACCTTTTTTGCAGCTGGTCGTTTGGGACGCAAAAAACATGAGAACGCATTTCTTTTCTCTAAAGGATTGTTAGGTCCATATTGGCAAATGCCTAGTAAAGGACCCAAATTGGATGATGGAACACCACTTCCATATGGTTTTGACGATTGGGTAGCAATTAGGTGTCCTGGACACACTTCCCATATGATATGTCTTTATCACCCACACTCACAGTTGTTTTATATCTCTGATATGTTTGTACAGACTAAAAAGGGATTTTTCCCTCCTTTTACGGTTGACTCCACTTTGGCATACAATCGTAGTCTTCACCGTCTACGAGGGTTACCTGTACGTTGCGCTTTACTGGCACATTTTGGGATCATAGACGTTGATGATAAATGTGGTTCATGGAATGGGTTAATTGACGATGTTGTTTACAATTTCACATCACCTACTTCCAATGGATCTCATTTTAGCACAATCTCTTCTATGAAGAAGATGGTACATACTTTCACGAGCGAGAAGGTTTCTCCAGATGTAATAATTCCATCTAACAGCTTTCCGTTCAAAGTGGAGGATGGCACTGATCTTCCCCCATTATACATTATGAATAAATGAGAAAATATCTCCATACATTGAATTACCTCATGTTTTTTTTTTTTGTGTGTGTGTTTTGGGATTTGGTATTTCTTCTTATTTCTTATTATTTCTTATTTTTATTATTATTTGTTTTTTATTCATTTTGTGATTCTGCTGTGGATTCGAAACCTCGTGTTGAATGTTGCATGTTTTTTTTTTCTACCTTTTCTTTTCTTTTCATTTTGTTTCTTTTCTTTTTTAATACTTGTGGAAAAAAAAAAAAAAAAAAAACTAATAGAATCGATAAAAACAACAGTGTATCAACAATTAAAAAAAAAAAAAATCATTGTATCCGTAACCGTAACTGAAAGTATTACTCACTAAGGAACGACAGTAACTGAGAAGGAATCCTGAAGCAAACATGAACGATCTCTTCCTCCAAGTGATATCTGGATCTCCGCGGCAAAAATACAACCAGATTATTGCTACTTCACCAGAGTATACCATTCTATGTGCCCAGGCACCAAAGGCAGAAGATCGCATCGCTTTACTTATAAAGCGGTTCCCCACGTCAACTGAGACAAGTTCAGCGCAGACAATGCGCCATCTTCTGCAGACGTGTGTCACATCCTCTGTTCCACCTGATGAGGCAGAATCTATGGTCGAAACCTTGGTAGAGTTCGCCAAAGAACATCCAACATGGACTGACACTATTCAATGGATCTGTGCTCTTGTGCATTATTACTGTACGGACGAAATCACTGTCTCACTATTTTCCGAATTTGATGTGCCTTCTGTGGCTGTACATGCAATAAAAGAAAATGCCCAAAACAATCAACTTGTTTTGGCTGCTTGTGCTTTATTGTCTCATTTTAACTTATATCCTATAGGTGACGGCATTTCCCAACTTGCTCGTGCCCTGCAAATTCACAGTACAGATCCATTGGTTTGTAAAATGGCTTGTCGTGCTCTGGCAGAATTTACTTCTTACGTTGTAGAAGCACCAGAACGATTTGCTGCTTCTAATAAAGAATTTATTGAAGCAAATGGTGTAGAAGTACTTGAATGCGTTTTACGAGATCAAATCGGAGATGAAGAAACCACGAGATATGTTGTTCGAATTGCTGCCAATATGACAAGTTCAGGTTCGCCAAGTTCTCTTGAACCGGACTCAAAAGTTATGTCCTATCTTGCAGAAGCACTTGGGCGATATTCCGATTCTGATTTGCTTTGCAGCCATGCATTACATGTTTTTAGCAATTTACCTACTTCAACCTATATTGATTGGGATATAATAACAAAATTATTTAAAACAACTGAATCTGAGGCGACAGCATTGGAAGCTATTCACTTCCTATGCAGTGTTGCAATAAATGTTAAGGTACAAAAACAATTAATATATTCAACAGGTTGTGTTAATCGTGTTCTTGAAATTCTACGTAAATACCGTCTCAATGCCGCTATTCAAGAAAATGCATGCAGTTTACTGTCCTACCTATCTTTTGACTCTGAAACGATAACAACAAAAATAACAGAAGCAGGTGGAATTCTTTTGGTACTTGAGGCTATGAGAAATTTTCCAGATAATGAAGATTTACTTGTTTCTGCGTGTGCGGCACTCAGTGGTTTAACATTCAATAACCTTCAAGGACAGAAAGTCATTGTTGAAGAAAAAGGTGTAGCATGTATTTTAGAAGCTATGCGACGAGGAAAAAGTGCACGATTACAAGAGAATGGTTGCTTGGCAATTGGAACTATGTGTTGGAACAGTGATTTAAAAGCTGATGTGGTACGTTTGGGAGGAGTGGAAATGATTATGAATGCTTTACAAAATCATTACACAAGTCCTGGTCTTGTTAAAAATGCATGTCGGGCCTTGGCGCAAGTTGCCTTTAATTGTGAGGCCTATCGTGATGAGATGAGTGCCAGTGGAGTGATACCACTTATTATAAAAGGAATGGCACAACACCCCAACTATGACCGAGTGCAAATGCACGGTTGTGTAGCACTTTCATATCTTTCATGGAATAATGAAATAAATTCTGCACAAATAACTTCTAACAACGGCTATAAAGTTATTGTTGACGCTATGCGTAATCACGTACATAATTATGAAGTTCAAGAGCATGCATCAAGGGCTCTTGCTAATATTGGAACTGTACCATCAGATGATCTTTTACCTGCCCTAGAGCAAATTGTAATAGCTATGCGACGACATGAAAATGTAAGTGAAGTTCAAGAAGAAACTTGTCGTGCTATCGTTACTCTTTCGTTGATTTCGCCTGCATATAAAGACAAATTATATGAATTAAATTGTGTGGAATGTGTCGTTACAGCGATGAGTAATTTTCGTGGTAATCAAGTGGTTCAACAAGAGGCATGTAATGCCTTAGCTCACCTTGCTTATGAGCATGCTAAACTTAATAAATCTGTAACTGAACATAATGGAGTAGAGGCTCTTCTTACAGCCATGAAAACATATGTAAATGCTCCTAAAGTTCAGTTAAACGCTTGTGGAGGTCTAAGTGCTTTGGCGTTTGATAATACTATAGCTCAACAGCAGATATATGATCTTGATGGTGTAGCATGTGTTATACGTGCAATGGAAAATTTTGAACGTTTGCGTATGTTGGAATTGGGTTGTTCAGTCCTTGGAACATTGGCATGGAATGCTCAAATTAAAGAACAAGTTGCTGTTGTAGCTATACCAGAAATATTAAAAGCTATGCGTGCGCATTATCATAGCCCATTGTTGCAAAAGTCTACTTGTCGTGCTATATCTCAATTTGCTTTTAATTCTGAAAATAATCGTCAACTTTTGGCAGAATCTGGTGCTATACCTCTTATTGTAAATGCAATGCGTTCACATATTACCACAGATAAACTTCTTGTACATGGAATAAAAGCTCTTACTTACCTTTGCTGGGAGAACGCACAAGTTGCGGAGGCTATAATAAATGAAGGTATAGAAGATGTTCTTGAAAAAATTGTAACTTCATACTCATCATCGCAACGTGTCTACGGTGAAGCTGTTCATCTTTCTAAAATACTATTTCGTAAAGTTTCAGGGAGTCCTCATGCAAGAATGTGTTCACCACCGCTTTCTTCCCCAGTTCCAATGTCTCAAACACCAGGACCTGGTGTTACTCGCACGGATAACGAAATGCTTCTCAGTCCCCCTATGCAAGATTCAGATATTCCACATTACTATACAGTACCTCAGGAATTAATGAGACAAGAGGTAAGACAGCAGCGTAATCAGCGAAATGTCCAGGAACAACAAGGAAGAGATGATAATAAAAACAAAGGTGAGGTTCCTGGACGACGTCGCCGCAATCGTCGCCGAGGGGGCAACACCAGCCACGAACGACGCCCAAATCAGTTGGAATCACAGGTTGAAGGACAAGGTACTGGTGGGTACCACGTGGATCCATATGTCAGTCGACCACAACGTCGGGATAATGATTCAAATCGAATGATATCTGCCGAAGATTTGTGGGATGATCCGGATCCAAGTACCTACCATGGTAACCGTGACTTGGGCAAACTTAACTGGCAACAAGCAGAACTTGCACGCCAAGAGAATGAAAGACAACGACCAACAGGTGAAACGTCAGGCCGTGGTGGTAGTGGTAGTGGTGGTGGTGGTGGGGGACGAGGTGGTAAAAGACGCGTCAACCCACGTAATAACAACCGTGGAAGGGGACGTGGTGAAGTGGAAAAAACTCGTTGAGTGGTGTATTACTCAACTTAAATGTTCTACCTGGGCACTATTTTTTTTTTTTTTTTATTCCCATATTCCCTTGCTTTCTCAGAGTTTCAAGAGAGTTGGGATTTGGAAAAGAAAAGAAAAATTAATTGGAAGTGAAAATGTATGGTTACATGCAACTGAAGCATATGCTACAGACGCACCCATATCCTGAAAGGAAAAAAAAAAAAAAATACGTCTCCAAGAGAAAAGAAAGAGAGAAAAAGAAAGAAAAGAAAAGAAAAAAAGAAAAGAAAAGAAATGAAAAAAAAAAAAAGCAGACAAGAAAAAAAATATATATACAGATTATTCTTTTTCGTTCTTTCCCTCGCTTCTCTCTAACCTTTTTTTTTTTTCTTTTCTAACTTTTTCTTGTTTTCTTGCCTTCAGTAACAGATGAATAACCATGTTTTGACCTTGTTTTTGTTTCTTCTTTTCTTTTGACTTGTACGATATAGAGGTTCTTATTAGCATATCCTCCAGTAAATATGAGCATTCCGGAATGGGCGACGACTGAAGAATCCATTGAGGAGGCAAAGGATTATCTCCGACAGGGAAATACGGTGGATTTCTTTGAATTGATGTCTAGCTCCATCCTTCGAAGCCACCCAACTGACCTTGCAACATTTTGTTTAGAACTTGTTCAAACCATTGCCGACGGCAAAGAAACCCCTACAGATGGTGAATATCACCCCAAAGTCGTAGAAGACAATAGGTATATGCGAGATAAAAATGTTTGTGACTTTCTTAATGAATGGATTTTGGCTTTATTAAAAGAACGACCAAGCACAGATAGTGACCGCATCGGGTTTCACAAACGTTACTTGGAGGAACTCATAGCAGGCGAGGAGAAATCTTAAATAGAATTCAGTGGATGCTATGATTTAGAATTAAAAATACAGAGGAAGTGGGTAAGAAGAGAAGAAACCCGAATGATATAGTTTAGTGTTTAATAAACTCAAGAGCTTTTAAAATTGCCCCTAAAATGACAGTATTCTGCTGATATCCAGGTCATAATGGAAGGTGGAATGCTCGTTTCTTAATTGCTTTTTTTTTTTTTTTTCCCCCCCCCCACCGTTACCAAATAAGCTATGAGGGCCTTTGTTGAGTCCTCCCTTCTTTTTTTTTTTATTTTGTTTAATCTTTACAGTAATATAAAATGTTGTATGTTGTATTGTTTTGCTTTTCTTTTAACTTTAAAGGGGTAAAATTAAATAGCTAGCGACGCTATAGAATAGCCCGGTGTGAGGTCTGAGGTGCGTCAACGATGCGACAGTGGGTTTCAAGAATAACGGTATGGGGATCCCGAATCCCCGGAAGGGCTATTTGCAGCACACAATACATGTTCCAGCGAGGTCAGTGGGGCAACGATCGCCCTATGGGTGACGGTCGAGGCCAGCAGCGTGATTACGGTGATCAAGGCAATCGAGGTGATTGGGGTGGTCAACGTGGTGGTGGTGGCCGACGTGATTACGGTGATCA